CTCAAATGTGAACATTCACGTTTAAAACGCTGGAGTTCAAACGACTTTCATAAGAAACTCAACCAAAGCGAACGAGGCAATACTACTGGACAGACTGAGAGGCTGCGCGCGCAGCAAACACGTGATTATTCCATTCTGAGACATTTTGCAAAGACGCATTTCCTAGTAGGAGTAGAACCCAATCCAGAGACAAGCCTGCGTTGGCGGAGATGAACGTTCGTGTCCTTTTATTTTTTTAAAAAAAGTGTAATATGTACGTTTGCTTACGTTCAGTTGAAGAAATATCGGTCAATTGCAATTAATACAGCGCCGTTAGACATAACGTCAACCATATATTCTGCCAACGTTTCGAGAACAAGCAGAGATTGTTCTCGAAGAAGATAAGCTTGATTCCACATGCAGCCACCTGATGCAGCTTGTAACCTGAGAGAGTCTTTCACAGACTTCAGTCGCCGTGAATGATTCACTTCATACATAACGAATCAACATTTTCAAACATATACGAATAAAGAACGCGTCTGTGTCTACCATATCTGCCTACACTGTCTTGCAATACCAACAGCACACTAAATGCGTAAACCTCGCATGACGTCATATGGATAATTTCCACCATCATCTTACACTTGCCGGCAGTAAATTATGTTAATTAACTGAATCGTGTGCTTAATGCGTCGAGGCTTCAAATTACGGCAAACATCAAAAATATGAGGGAGAGAATTCCGTTGTAGATTTTCTGCATCAAAAGTACAATTTATAAACTGTCTTCTTTGATTGTCCCAAGGACATCAACTGCTGTGTTCCCGCCATTATGGACGCGGTAGAAAAATGAAGGTAAAACTCCACGCATTGACCACGGCACTACACAGATATAAGCTACCAGCTAATTAACTAAAGAATTATCCTTGGGGAAAGCACCCAAGATACCATTGGATATAAAACTATATGGACCATTAAAATATTACTAATTATTTCAGTCTACAGGAACATATTTAACACAACTTAATGCAGAACTTGAAGTATCTTTAATGTCACCCCCACCTCAGAACTTTACAAGTCATACACGTTGGTATTGTTGATGAAAAGGAATTAGTTTGACAAAAGTACAGAAATTAGGGTACACGTATAAATTATGTCCGAAGTTTAAACACAGAACAGACTCGTATACAACACAATAATAAATTTTAAACGAACCATAAGAGCTTTTTCGGATCTCTAAACCATGATAATGTTCGAAAGTTTTCAAAAATAAACGGTACGACAAAATAAGCCAACGGACATATCAAGGATCACGAAGCAAACATGGGGGAGGCGGGAACCGAGTACAAAGTTGTAATCGGAAAACCTAAAGTGACGAGACCTACGCGTAGGAGGGTAATATTAAAATGGATTTTAGAGAAGTGTAGGGGGATTAAGGGCTCAGGATAGGGACACGAGGCGGGCTTTTGTATATTAGGTAATGAACTGGAGGCTTATATAAAAGTGGCGAATTTCTTGACTAGGTGGGTGATGTCAGCTTCTCAAGGTGTTGTCCATAAAGGTGATTATGAACTAAAAAGAAAACGAAGAAGAAATCCTATGGCTGGTAGATAGGTTTGTCACGAGGTAACAATACGCAGGTCCCTACTGGGATTGTCGGCTGCAGGAATTAAGGAGAAGGAGTGAGTTGGTGATGACCTCTGTTCTGGCGCCGGGTAGACTGTCGGCACATACGTTTCAGAAACCCAAAACATAATCATCATCATCGTCACTGTTGTGAAAACCTTCAATCTCACAAGCCGCACATTCATTCATCTATTTTTATTTATTTAGTGTTCTGTCTGAGGACAGGTCCATATGAACAGGATCCTTCCATCCTTTTCTCGGACTGGGACCTGTTCCTATACGTTCTTGGCAGATGATCCAGAAGTGGTTTGCCATTGCCTTCTTCTGTGTGTGAATGGAGTAATTGTTGGAATGCCACGGAGAAACCGGGGAAGAAGCCCCCGGAGGAAAACTCCGTGTTGCCTAGACCACGGCCTTGCCCAACACAAGTTATAAATTCGGGCACCGCCGGGAATCGAACCCGAGACCCCAGGATCTTTTCCCCCCTCCCCCCCTCTCTGACACACACAATTTGGCCCTACAGCGGTCAGACGGCGGTAATGGGTATAGTGGCGTTGGTGGTAGCTTCTGCCAGCTGTTGTCTACGAATCCACAACACAGTCTTTCTAGTTCAGATTACAGTCATTAAATGCTTCAGTTCTGCAAAGGAACAAAGATTTTCATTCATGTTGAATCAAAGGTCACAAGTAGTAAGAACCGATACTTTCACATATGTACAGATTATATCCTTCAGACCTCAATGGTATACACAACACAAAAATATCTGCTTCAGTAAGATCAAGACTGGCATCGTTTTCATGCAGGATTTTCGTTGTAGTCTGCTAATTTGTGTTATTGTTTCTGCTAACTCCTCTTTACCCACACACGTAAATACATAATAATAGGCAACATGTACTCATTAATAATTAAATACAAGTTTCGTGGTTTACATTTATTTCAAGACACTGTACCAACTGCTCGTATATTTCGAAGAGCATGATTATTTTTGGTGAAATTGGAACGACAGAAAACAACGCATCTGCGGTAAAGTGTAATTCAACTACATTTTAATGTAGTAAAACACAATATAAAAATGTTAAATAAGACTGCGTTCTTTAAGACATAAAATGAAACCGGACTCCTAAATGCATCCTTTAAGAGCACGGAATACACCACCCCTCACCCAACACCGCGCGGCTCTAAATCTTGCTAGCTTTGCTACGCTGACAGCTCTGGGCCGGTCGTGTTGCAACGTTGTACGATTTTGGTATGACCTTGAAGCATGCAATTTGGTGACGGCTACTATAGTGCAGATGACATCAAAGTACACGAAATAAGAATGTGAGGAGAAGGAGGATACTTTTATGAAGACAGTGGTCCTAAGAGGGTGAACTCCGGACCTACCGCCCATAAGGCAAGATAACCAGTCGCTATAATAAGTAAACATTTCTCATCAAATAGTCTATGCGGATTCCTTATCAACTAGCGGACCTATTCAGCGTCGACATTAGAGACAGACGAGTTTATTTCCTATAATATTTATTGCAGGCTTATTTAACGACGCTTTCAGCTGCTGAGATCATAGTCACGAACGATAAGATGGTTAGTAAATAATGAATTTTAGAGGTTGTGGAAGTAGTGTCCCGGCATTTGCCTGAAACGACAGAGAATAACCACGAAAAAACATGTCAGCCTGTCACCGAGGCGATATTTCCTAATTACGAAGTATTTAGGCCTCGAAGTCTGGTGTAATAAATAGTACGTGAGAAAAGAACAAAATCAAGGAATGGAAAGTCGTTACTTTAACTGGAGTTGTATGAGGAAATGCAGGCTAAGTGGATACATCGATTTTTGTGTGTGCCTACACGTAGATCGATATGTCCCTACTGAACTCGAAAAGGTTTTAAGTCGAAACACCGGTGCCCAGAAATAAGACAACTGTCATGGCCGTTACAAGTAAATTTCGTAAAATTAAAGTTATCTCGTCTCTGTGGGCATTTGAGTTTAGTTCCCACCCAAATGAAAACTGCACAGGCCAAAAACACAACATTGGTACCAACGTAATATTTAAACGGAAACCTTTTCACGAGAAAGAATCACGTGACTTCGCTAGGTGTAATCGAACCTACGTGATTGCCAACCACTACACCTAGACAATAGGATAATTATGATGGAAACGATAAGTTGAAGATGAGGGGATTATCTGCTTTGGCCAAGATCAAAACTGAAGAACAGCACAAATCGCTGATTTCCAAGTTACTCAGAAAAGTTCGTCAAACTTTTAATTTATATAATCGGACGAATGTTTTATTGCAGCAACTGACAACTCTACTCAAATGACGAGTTTCGTCCCACGAGTTACTACATGATTCAGTAAATTTTATCGAACACTCGCGGACATCCAGTTTGTTCTGAGGTTGCAGTATTTTCCCCCTTTGTAAAGAAAATTGCTCGGCGTTTCAGCAAGACTGCTGGGAAAACCAACTTAGATAAATTAAAGATTACTTATGAGACTTCAGTCGACCATCATTATTCAGGAGACGATCGCCAACTTTCCAATAAAAATTCCAGAGTTTCAGAGACCGAAAAGCACAAAATATAAAATCAAAGCTGAAAATAATGTCGACATGTTTTCTTTACAGCAAAGGAATTATTTATTACAAATCCTCTCCTCCAAGAAAGACTTAACTAGGCTTCTTCTAACCTTCAATTCTGAAACGTTTATGGCACTGCATTCGTCGAAAAATACCAGTTCTTGGCCGGACAAATTTATCTTATTTTGCATCATGACAGCATTCGGTAAATAACTTTTACATTACCCCCACAAGTCTTGGGACATTCACGCACTCGCCTCAATTAGTTCCGTGTGACTTTTCGGGTTCCCAAAACTAAAAATCTCCCTCCTTGCCGAATATGCCGAAGGCATATCGCGACAATGGAATGTGTATGAAGTCAGAAGGCGAATACTTTTAACGTAACCACACACAGTAAAGGTTAGTTACTTGCGTGTACATGTGCCGCCATATTTCTACTTGTGAGCACACAGAAAAAAAAATTAAGTGGTGTCCCTACTTAACCTGTCAAGCGCCAAATTTCACAGTTCGCTAATCATTTCATATACATTTTGCGTGCCCGCCATGTTGTTCAATTTATATATACTCCTGAACCTCAAACGTTCGTGCATTCGGCATTTTGGTGCACTGACGACATAACACACACACAAAAAAAATATCAGTCGTAGTATGACCATCATACGGAATGCCATACTTTATTAATACGTACTACAAGACCGAGAAGATATTGTACGCGCGTTCGCATGAGCGAATAAACGTTTTTGATATGAATAATACAAATAAAACAGTAGCGACTGCGGCGGTCTCTATGAAACAAACAGAAGAGGAGCGAAGTGTCATCAGACTTTGACAGAATCTCCTTATAGTATGGTGCGGACTGGCAACAGGGAACGACGTGAAGGTCACGATGCCTCTGCTGTTGCTGATGCTACTCCACCACGCAGCCGCGGCTTCTCAAGACCCAGCAGCGCCTTCATGGAGCAACTTCAGAGCGGCTGGGAACCAACAGGTGGGGAAACAGTGCAGTCAGTGTCCGCGAAATTTGCTACCGGTACGAAGATTCTGTTCTTCCTGGTTGTAACACCGTGCAGCTTTGTAGGTGGTAACCAGCGATCCAGAGGAACTTATCACCTCCATCTTCAGGGTAGAAGAGGCGATAAGCTCATCCGAAACGTTGGTAACGACCTACAAGGCTTCATAATCCAGGAGACACAATCAATATTTTCACTGTCGTAAAAGTATATCTGACATAGTTCCAATAATTGTGAAATCCTCAAATTTTGCATGTTTGAAAAAGATTAACTTTTATTGTCGTTGAAGAAAAACATATCGAGATGACAGCGAGAATACTGAATTTTCAATTACTGATCCACTGAAAAGATGTGAGGAATTTTGTATGGTGAGAAATTATGTGAACACGGTAGTTTACCTCAACACCAAGCGTGAAGGAAATGTGGAGGTGAGTTCTTAGCCAAAGGCACGTGAGAGCGCAGTCTAATTCTCAAGCAGTCTTTACTCTTCTGTATAAACAACTGGACGGGGTTAGATAAGACGTTTCTGAAGCGGTTGTGAAGAGAGGAAATTTTTTTTTTTACTAAGCAACAAACGGTGTCATATAGTGTCAAATGAGAAAGACGAAATGGTTACTAATTTCTGTACAATAATTGGTGCCACAACCTAAAATATTTTCAGCGATTACCCAGCATAGCTCAGGCGGTAGAATAACAAGGCTACACCCTATGCACTGGATTGGGGTTCCATTCCCACCATGGGCATAGACGTTTCTCTTCGCCACTGCGTCCAGACCGATTGTGTGGGCCAATCCAATGGCTACCGGGGTAAATCGGAAGGGGCGTGATGCTAACCATCCAATTTCATCATCTGCCTACGACAGGAATGCGTGCAGCACTCTATGCACCTTCATGGCGTGGTGATTAACAACGCACCTGAGACAACTCAAACTTTCCTTTCCTTACACACGCCTTTAGGGGTTGAGGCGAAGGTCGAGAATGAATGTCTAGAACAGGAAGCAGGTATGCCAACCAGTACACCACAAAGTTCATTAAAAACTGAACCTTAATTATGATTAATAAAAAGCGCTAATAAACCGATCACAGTGACCGCGGGGGTACGGGGCTCGGCCTTGATCGTCCGAGCTCTGATATCGTGGATTCGAAGCCCACTCGAGGCAAAGGTTCTAGACAAAACGTCTAACAAGGCACCCAGGAATTGTAGAAGCATAAAACAAATATTGGTTGCTAAGCATCATACAAGATACGGTAAATACCACGGAAAGATGCAATACCGAAATTCAGAAGAATAATACACGGTGTGTTCTGTTGGTTTTCCAATCAGAAATTCGGTCACTCTCACCTCACGTCAGTACCCTCAACTAAATGCTTTGACTACAGTAAATGTCGATCCATTCCCAATTATTTTATTAGCCTCGAATATCATTCAAGGCTAATCGGTGCTGTTGATACAGCCTAGTTAATACGAAACAGACTTTCGGCAACACTGCCTGAAAGCAGTCACAAACGTGCACGATAATAACAATTTCGACCTTTCTAAATTTCGATAGACGACCCTTCGGGTACAGGACAGACAAGGTTGCTTGATAACGAGGTCGAAATATGTGCAAGTTAGTTGCCATACACCAGAGGTCTTCACGGACCCAGGCCATAGCACGAGGACCGGGCCTGGACTTGGTAGCTGCTAATGCAGTATCCACCTAGAAGTCCACACGGCGTTCCAAACTAGAAGACCAACATCGACACCTTCAACACCGCAAGAACCTCACATCTCACAAGTCTTGAAATGTCTTTTTCCGTTCCGTTAGATGATCCGTGACCCTCAGTTCGTTTTCGTCTTCAAATTGTTAAGCGGGAGTGCCAAAATACACAACACCTTCTTCTAGGGTACAATTTCAGAGGTCCTTGCTGCCTCTGAAACGTCGGTAAACTTCTACCAGACTACACGGCGCAACAGCCCAGAAGACAGCAATCTTCAAACAGCCGTAAAAAGCTCAGATCTTACTTAATCTTAAATATAATCAGCTGTTTGTTGTTCTGCCACACCGAGAACCAATATGTTTGATATTCGGCTGTTTTACACAAGTAACACGTAACCATCCAGTCTTTAATAACTGATTTTATATATATAGAAATAATAACCAGTTTTCTAGCAAATGGCAACGTTTACCTGAGACATTATTTCGCTTATTTAATGAGTTTGTTTATGTTATGCATATTTTGTCTGCTACTAACCCAAAACACCGAAGCAATTGTCAACTAAACTCAAAATGAAAAGCGGGAAATTTTTAAGTACAAATATGCACCAATAAACATCCCAAGTTTTTAAACGTTATTAACGTGTATCACCTACAAATAAAACGATCACCAATCTAGAGGCACATCTGTACAACATTAAGCATCATTCAAATGCATCTCATATTCTGCGTTCATCGTGATTCTGAGTGTAGACTCAATATCAAACCAGTGGAGTTAAACCCGGACACGTCAGGGGCGAATCTTTAGACACACTTCTACCAATCTATTATCCGGATCGAGGTAACGTAAAGCAAAACCTGTCCCTGATAATTAATCACATCATGAAAACATATGGGACAGTGGATGTTCAGCTCCACACGTTCTAAACCTCGCCATCAGATGGCCGTCCCGACCGCTTTAGCCCTGGGGAAACAGCCCCACGTACGCTGGATGGGCCAGAGTGGGTTTGGATGAAGAAAATTCCGCCCTTGCCGGGAATCCAGCCCGGTAGTAGTCTTGTCATTATACTGACTGAACTACATCGTTTCTTATCTTCCGGTTGAAGTTCTTGTACAACTTTGCAGCTCTTCATTTGCTTCTTGGCGTGAACACACGTGGTTGGGCATTTATATATAGGTGACTGGCTATACGTGACGTAATAAATAGTCCCTAGTTACAGTATCCATATCTTGATATACTCTGAGGATCTGCATAAAATACAACTGGGTGTGAATTAAACAACACACCCACATTTCTTTCACCAAGAAATTATTTAGATGATGTTCACAACACAGACTGTTTTCGAGTAACACTACGCATGCGCGAACTGTTGGTCTTATGAAAAAGCAATTCATTTCCTCGTTTTCAAGGTCGACGCTTTGCTTTTGAAAAATTATTGTTTAACAATTATTTTGTGAAGCTGTGCCAACAAATACAAAATTACATCACTCACAATCTTGCCAATAAAGTGGTATTCATGGCGGACGGTTTACCAGGTCAACCAACAGTGAAACACTGATATGGCAAGACAATGACGAGGGTAGTGTGGTTGCAAGATGGCTGCCATATCACTGTGAAAACTGAACCCGGTATGTGTGGAGCCACGTTATAAAGGGTTAATTTGGGACACACAACAAACCATTCAAACTTCGTGACGTGTTCTGCATTATTGCACATATCGGCAAACAAAATAACGCAGTTCAGTCTTGAATTGTCGTTTATTTAAAATTAAGCAAATTCCGAAATGTGTACGTCACTCAGACAGATGGTTGTTTTATGTTCAACCAAAGCCTGTCTCTCCTAACACGCCGGTTAACAAGCACCATTCTGCCCATTAGCTGCAGGTTACTAAACAAGAGTGAGTGAACAGCTGATTCCGCTAGCCACTTGGGATTCCAACGTCTCGAAGCGGAAATTCACTGGGCCCGTTACAGTACGCTAATCGCAAAGACCAGAAGAACACGGACAAAAAATTACCTTGTGAGACGTGACAAAGCTTAAACATTAAATATTCAAAATTGAATTTTAAGTTCCTGTATCATAGGCCAACATACGTTTCATAAATGACGTTATATTACAAAACTAAATTAATTACACGGAGTAAAGTCTTGAGAGGGGTCCGCAGTGGCTGCGCGGTCTGAGGCGTGGGCCTTGTGCCGCTGGGACCGTGGGTTCGAATCCCACTCAAGCCATGGATGTTTGTCCGCGTTTTTCTGTGTTGTGCTGTCCTGTGTACAGGTAGAGGCCTTGCGACGGGCCGATCCCTCGTCCAAGGAGTCCTACCAAAATGTCTAATAGTTCAAAGCCAACGAAAGTTGGGACCCGCAGTGCTCAGGCACTTGAAGAATGGGTCGTTCCCAGTATACCAAAGTCTTGAGAAGTTAACAGTACCACCACCCAGTCACGAAATTCCCCGCCTTTAATCAAACCAGAAGGTAAATTATTGAGCCACACACCAGTACCTGTCCTGAGCGCGATTAATCCAATCATATCCTCTAAGCCTACTCCAAGACCAATTTTAATATTATCCTCTGTCTACGCCTGCGTCTTCTGAGTCATCTCTTATCTTCAGGTTATCTGGCCAAACATTTTGGCCATTTCTCATCAATCCCATGCACGCTCCTTAATTTGATCATCGTATGTGGTGAAGAGTACAATATTCTAGTCCTCGAGTTTTATATCGCAAACAGGAAGAGAAACGACTCTAAACTGAATAGTAGTAAGAGGGTCATCACTGCTTAGCATCAAGCCCATACTGAAGTATGTGCAAGACGTTCTACTTATGCTTTATGAAGAAATATAATAACAGCTTCCAGCACTGAAGGCGTGTCACTCTACCAATTGTTCGTCTTGTTTAGGCAGGTTAATTTGTATCTTTACAGTTGGCAAGTCCAATGTTACTTAAGTAGGAGCAACAAGGCGTTCGCATTATTACGGAGCTGATACATTTTTAGACCGAAGGCATTCCAGTGCTGTACACGGAACATATTAAGGGCAATAAATAACAGACGATGTTCTGAAAATTAAGTTTAAGAAAGGAAAGTCTAATAAGTTTACTCAAGTGTGATTTGAGGTTTTCACAGCGGTGAGTATGAAGATTTCTGTCTTCTGGGTTGTTGCGCTGTGTAGTCTGGTCGATGTTTACCAACGTTTCAGAGGTCATACTGCCTCCGTCATCAGAGTATGAAGATTTCTGTCTTCTGGGTTGTTGCACTGTGTAGTCTGGTCAATGTCAACCAAC